TCCTGCCGGGCTCTCGCATATGTGAGCCTTGATAATTTTTTCAAAGACTTTGCCAAGGATGGAGGTGAGACTGACTGGCCTATAGTTGCCCGGGTCCTCCTTCCTCCCCTTTTTGAAAATGGGGACCACGTTGGCCCTTTTCCAGTCCTCCGGGACTTGGCCCGTGCGCCATGAGCATTCGAATATTCCTGCCAGTGGCTCTGCAATGATGTCGGTCAGTGCCTTCAGCACCCTCGGATGGAGCTCATCGGGCCTGCCGACTTAAAGGCATCCAGTTCTTCCAAATGACTCTGCACCATCTCAGGGTCTACGCATGGTTGTCTGGCGCCTTGCTGCTGCCTCTCTACAACCCCAGTGAGAGTCTTGTCGTGCCCCTCGCTTAGGAACACTGAGGCAAAGAACTCGTTGAGGAGTTCAGCCTTGTCCCCTCTGTCTGTCACCAATTGTTTCTGCCCATTTAGCAGGGGTCCTATTCCTCCCTGGGCCTTCCTTTTACTCCCAATATATCTAAAAAACAATTTCTTGTTGTCTTTTACTTGGGTTGCCATCCTCAGCTCCATGGCAGCTTTGGCCCATCTAACTGCCTCCCTAGAAGCACGAGCAGAGGAGGTATATTCATCTTTGGTGATCTCTCCCTGTTTCCACTTTTTATGTGCTCCCCTTTTGTCCCTTAGGCTGCCCTGGATTTCTCTGGTCAGCCAGGGAAGCCTCCTGGCCCCTTTCCCCCTTTTGCCTCGCTCGGGGATTGTCTTGCTTTGTGCTCGAAGGATCATTTCCTTAAGGCACAGCCACCCTTCTTGGGCTCCCATCACTTCAAAACTCCTACTCTGCAGTGCGTCCTTGACTAATCGCCTGAGTTCATTGAAATCAGCTTTCCTAAAGTCTAGCACTTTCACCCTACTATTTACCTTACCCACTCGACGTCTTATGGTGAAGGATGACAAGTGCTGGGCCCCTTTTCTGGTTGTTTGTCCCAGCCTCTGGCAGGGCTCAAAGCAATCACATGGCCCCTCATTCACTACTGGGGTCTCCTGCCTCCCCTGCTAGTCCAAAACCAGACCACTGGTCCAAACCACAAACCAAAATACAAGCCTCCTGGCTGTAACAAAACTCCAGGCTCACCAGCTATATGACAAAACTGTCCTCATCCTTGGTTCTAGATCCCTGCAAGCTCTCAGCTCCTTGCTTGCAAGTCCCAGAGGTAAGAGGACTTCAATCATTTGCTTTGCTACAGCACTCTTGCTGCAGAGCTCTTCTCCCTGTAGCTTGCAGAGTTAGACTGACTGCCCTTGTTGAGGCCCTGGGCTTATATGCCTCTTAAACCCTGCCCCTTGTTACTTTGAATTACCAATTTATCAAATCAAGAGCAAGACCTTATAAAGGGGGATAAGGCAAAATGCCGCATTTATTGATTACATGAATTAAACACAGAGGTTTGGACACACCACTCATATGGACACACACAATCATCCTACACATCATTACACTCAGACAAGCACAAACACAAAACAACCATTTCATTCAGATATTACAGTTACCAGCAGCAGTTGTTCAATAGGAGTACTGGGTGGCCGGCCCAGGCCTATTGAGAGAAGATGCAGATAGCAGGCTGAGGCTGGGTGAACAGATGCATCTGGAGTTTTTCCATACCCAGTGTCTGTTTTTGCAGTTGTTTCTCATCCATCTTCTGCTTATCTCAGCCGGAGGTCATTTTGGTTGAAAAAATTGGTATCTCAGCCTTGGAGTGTCCTTGTTGCCCATCTGGCAGGATGTGTGCATTCCTTTTTCTCATTATCTCCTTTGTGCCCTAGGCCTCAAAGAGATTCTTCAGCCATCTATTAATTAGCTTACTAACTGGTAACTTACATATTCGGTGCCTTGTTGCTTACAACACGCAGTTAAATCTTCTTTTCCTGTCTCTATGCCATTCTCTCACCATTCACCCTTTCACATACACTCATACATAAAGGGCATGCAGAGTTTATTCACTTATGTCAAGGAAAAGAACACACAATGGAGTTTTCAAATTACTTACAGGACAAGACTGACATGGTTCCAGTTCACTACTGTTACACTCTTTGGTAACATCAGCTACATTCCTTCAGATCATGCTACACCCTTTCAGTCAGGTGGCTCCTAAGCCACCCACAGAAGTTTCCAATTAGAGGCCTGATAGCATAAATTAACTGCACAACTGCTCCTTGCCTTGGGATTTGATAAAGGGATTTTAGCTGAATTACTGATATAGTCAATCAAATTGCAATAGCAATGTGCTATTGCTTAAGGGGAGGACTCTTATCCCCATTTTACAGGTGACAAATGGACACAAAGTGACTTGACAAAGATCTCAGGTCCAGGCTACTGACCTACCTTACAGTCACTGGACAGACCTTGCTTTAACTTCTGTGAGAGAGGTCTCTCTCTCTCTCGCTCTCTCTCTCTCTCTCTCGCTCTCTCACACACACACACACACACACAGAAGTTAAAGCAAGGTCTTTATATATGTATATATATATAATGTAAATTCATTATCATTGTAAGCATCCTTTTGAGAGAGAGAGAGAGAGAGGCTCTGCAAATGCTATGCTCTCTGGTTCCCTGGGAACTGTTTTTGGGAAGTGGAGGCAATATATAGAGGGATTCATTTGTTTTGTTGGTATGGTGCAATTGCATATATTGTCTGAGAAACAGACAGCATAGCACCTTAGAGCTAGTGAGGAAACAATTTCTATTTCCTACCACCCCCCGCCCCCAACCTCAACACTGGGAACCAGCTGCAGCAATGTGAGTAGGGATTGCTGGGAATGGAGCCCACTGGAGGCCTGATCCCTGTGTCTTGCCAGTACTGCTGGGGCTGGTCTCCATGGAATCCCTGGCCCTACGCTGTCACAGCCCCATCACTGCTGGGGTCTCCATGGAAACTGGCAGCAGCAATGCAGGCAGGGGTTGCTGGGAAATGGAGTCCACTGCAGGCCCAATCTGGCCCATGGGACAAGCTTTGCTTGCCCTTGATTTATCACTTTCTTCCTCCTGTAAGGGCTTGTGTTTTGCATCAGGGGGCAGCAGCTGCTCATTGTTGAAAAAGAGGGAGCTTCAAGTGGCATT